AAAAAAAAATCACTCTTCCTGGCAAAAGCACCCTCAAGCCTGCTGTGCTGTTCTGCACTGGGTGCCTTCTGTGACAGCCAGGGTCACTGAGCAGTGCTAGTTAGTGTGGCACTTCAGCCAGGCTAACAGGACTGGGCAGCTTCTGGTTTAGGTAGCAACTTGCCTGCAGTGACATAGCACCACTGCCAGGATGGCAAGTGGGCTGTGTAAGAGGGTCCCAGGTGAGGCGGTGGATTGTTATCCTTGCCCCTGGTTAGTGACTGCAGGTATGCCAGGGGAGGGAGCTTTCTGGATGGCTTCCTCCCTGCCCTCACAGCAGGCATGACAAAGAGGGCATGGCAAGCTGCTGGGGGCCTGGGGACCTCCTTTGACAAGCAGGAGGTCTTACCACTCTTTCCACCCCCACTGAAAGCAGCACAGACACCAGAGTGGAAGCAAGAGCTCTAGCTCCCAGACCCCCCAGCTTCTGCTGCCTCCTTTCCCCTGAAATGAGCAGTGGAGACAAGTGACTAATAGGAAGGCTCTGGCTGGATAGTCCATCTTCCCAATTAAAATGGAGAAAGCCACCCACTCACAAACTTCTGTGTGCAGTTCCAAACAATAACTCTGCATGCACCTGTGTGCGGGACACGCACACTTGCCACAGGAATATTAAACAGCATTTATCACTGAGCTTCCCTCCCTCACCTGCAGTCTGCCTCCTAATCCATCTCTATCAGGATGGCTTCCAATATTCCAGCCTCTCGCAAACTTCACACAGATGCCATTAAAAAACCCACCTCTATGAGAAATACCTTCTGCCCCCAAGATTAAGGAAGGAACGATGCTGGCATGAGACCAGGAGGTATCATATTCAGTTTAAGGGCGCTCCTGTCTCCCTATCTGCATACACCTGGTTTGTTACCTTTTTGGCATGGACTTCTTGTTCTGGTTTTGTTCCTAGTACAACAGGGTCTCTGGCCCTGAGTAGGGGACCTGAGTGCTACTGCAATGGAAATCATCATTATCCATGTCATGATCCAAGACAAAGCTTGGAACCATGGTTGTTTCAATCCTTGGTAGATACCCTGAAACTGCGATGTTCTTACGAGCAGAAAAAAGCTCTTGCAGATGGTTTCCAACCATGATTACATAGTTTTCATCTCAGTCTGAGCTGTATAGCTGGATACCTACATACTCAAGTACTTGGCAAAAGACACAAGGTAGCTGACACATGCTCACAGTCCAAACCAAAGCTGGCACCAGATGCTCAAAGGCAGATGCAATAAGGGCTAGGTGTTGAGTGGTCTACACTGAAACATAAAGAGGTTGTGCAAGTCAGGTGCTTTCTTACCTGCGAGTTGGAGCTGAAAGGTCAGGGGACACTGCAAGTCAGAATGAGAGCTACTGGTAGATGGTGTGTGCTGGGGTAATTTGCACTTCCTGGGCTCTAGCTAGATCAGCTCCTCACTTCCCAGGAATTCAACCCACTCGACCACTTCAGCAAAAAGGACACGAGGAGCAGCAAAAGGATCCGCTTTACTGACAAGTGTCTCATTTGAGCAAGGATGCAGATGCTTCCTCAGCCTGACGAAGGGTATTTATACCCAAAAGTTTGCTAAGAAGAATTTTTCCAACTATCTGAGTTGGCCTAATAAAATATATCAGATTTACCCAAAGAACTTTGTCTGCCTATGTTCTTAGACCAAAACAGCTACAACTTACACCCCTGAGTTAAGCAACCATTTTTTCTGTCTGGGGAGTCAGTCTGCCTGCCCCGCGTCCCCCACCCCAGCCTGAGCTCCACTCATCTGTCTCATTCAGTGTTTTTTGGTTGATAGAGTATCCCATGTTTTGAAAAAAAAAAAATCAGATAAATGGAGGTAAAACCTAACTCCAGCCACAGGAGTCAGTGGGTACCAGTGTCTGCTTGTCCAGTATCAAGGAACGAAAGGCAAAGACCTTCAAGTTATACTCCGCAGGACCCCTGGGCACTTTGGGGAATCAATCCTCAGCCTCATGGATTCAGTAGTCTTTCACCCTGAGACTCCCATGCCCATCTGTCTTGAAGTGCAAAGTACCTGCACAGCCTCTCCATCCTCCCGGCCCCCCCATAAGCTGAGCTCGTCATCTATGAGGCAGGCTGCCTTCTGTTCCCCACTGCACTCTTCACTCTGGTGCCCAGGGGAGGGCTGCGTGTGTGCTAGGACCAGACCAGGCCTCTTAACTACAGCCTCCTGTAGGCAGGGATGTTGCCAGCTGTTTCCGGAGAGCTCTGCAAGCTCAGTAATTAGTAAGAGTAACGAAAATGGTCACGGACCACGGGAGTTTCTGCAGCGTGGGGTCCCTGGGATACGTCCCCATAGCCACTGTTGCGTTCCAAAAAACAGCTGAAAGTTACACCACCGACTCAACAGCACAATGCTGTAATTAATAGCTAATCCCGCCCCAGCTCTGCATGGCCGCTAATAAACCTCAGTCCTTGAAAAAACCAGCAATTAGCGGCACACTCCCCTCCTTCCTCAGGTATCTTCAATGAGCATACATGGTGTGTATGTATATTTATTTATTTGTCTTCATTTCCCATCCAGGGAGGGGCAGGATAATGAACTGCGTGCGTCAGGGAAGATGAATTTGAGATACTAGGGAGCAGTGCAGTAAAAAGATTAAAGTGTTATTATTGTTGGGTTTTTTTTCCCCCCATGGTCCATTGTGACAGCTCGGCCGTCATCTGTAAAAAATGTCTCAGCGAGAGATAATCATCGGAAACTCAATAAAGCGTCAGGGGAAGCCTCGTCTGCCATCAATCACTGGGTGCCTGGAAATTTTCAGCCCTCTGTCTCCCTTCCTGCCATCCATATAAATGTCTGTAATATATTTTGTGCAGTGTGTGTGGTGCGGAGCCTCCCGATTTGGATGTTTTTATGAAAAAATATTTATACGCAAAATATGCAAATTGTTAAAAAAACAAAGGCAGTTTCGCCCTTCCTCTCTTTTTAAAAATGCAACTGAATTTATTCTTTTTAATAAAACATGTCAACCTAAGAATTAATGCAACTTCTTACTGAGTGGCCTTATCTTTCCCCACACCCAGAAAAAAAAAAAAAAGATACCTATTGGTTTAGAGAGGGCTGCATGCAGACAAAAACAATTAACTTTATTGGCTGATATATTTTGTCTTAAATAAAGTCTGCGTACATGCATTATGTATTGGCATTCCATTGTTCATTTTTTTTAATGTCGTTTCATGCATTTTGCATTCGTTGCTCTAGCTGCCTGATGCGCGCGTGTTCCCATAGAGCAAAGGGGCTGTTGTACCAGTATTACAGTGAGGGATGAGGGCAGGGAGCTTTTAAAAATAGAATTACACCCTGTCAAAACCATTCTCACGTTGATCCATTGTCCTAACCAAACGTGCATTTTATCAAAGCCACAGGTTCAAAGATTACACCGCTGCTGGACGGTAGTTGGCTTTTGGCTTGCAGCTGTGGGAACAAATGCTGTTGAAACCGATGGGCAAATCTCGCCGCATGGATTTCGCTCTGTGACTGGACTCATACTGCACTTCCGCCATGGTAAGAGGCTCTTTCAAGTTAGCTCCTCATAATACGCAGGAAGTGCTTAAATTTCTGAGCTGATGGTCACGGGGGTTTTCCCAGTTTGGTGATAAGTCCCAGGGAAGCCTGGAGTACTGGGTTGGTGACAAGGAATGACACTAACTTGCCTTCTCCTGGGACGTCATGTGCCTTGGACTATGAGCACGTAAGCTAAGAGGCTTACAGAGTGCTGGAACAGCGGAGAGACTTACAGATCATCTGGATGGTGCATGACACTGGTGACCTGGTAGGGGATGCACTGAACCCAGGTGCTGATATGATGTGTGGGAGATGAAACTGAGATGCTGACCATGAAGGCAGTGGAAGATCCACAGCACGCAGAGCACAGATGATACTTGTGATGCCCTGACCAAATACCAGCAGGGCTTTTCAGCTTGTCCACATAAATATTCCCTTGCTGTTTTGCATGGAGAAGCTGATCTTCCTTTGACATCCACTTCTAAACACTCAGGCAGGGTTGCTGTCCTGTTCTACCCTAGATCTGCATTTGAATGGATTAGATGCTTTTTCTATCTTCTACCTGAAAGTGACTGTGTATGCATCTTTATCAGGCCTCTAATGTTTCCAAGTAACTTCCAGGACACTAACAGATCTCTGTGCACACACATCTGCACTTATCTTTTCCCTCATTAAGACATGCTGTCAAATAGTCCACGCTTAAGCTGAAGGTGATGCAGTCCCTAAAAGTGAGGCCACGTTTCTATTCTGATACCAGAACACTGAACAGCAACGCAGGCCCAGCTCATAGCACATCTACACTTGAGATTGCTAAAGGGAAATCCAAGCGTCAGTCCCAAACAACACACCTTACTTCTATGCACTTACCTTATCGAAAGGGATACACACACATACGCATATGTCTGTGCAGCTCCTTTCCCATTATCCTGTGGAAAGACATGCCCCCAACACAGAACCCCTTGCGCCACACCATTGCTGGCTCAGAGGAAAGAGTGCCAGCTAGTGAATCCCCTGCAGCCCCTCTCTCCAGATACTGTCCCAGGCTAGGCCTGCCCTAGCTTGTGAGAACATCAGGACTTTAGCACAAGGATGGCACAACCATCCACACCCCTCTGCAGGATGGTACCAGGCCCTGGGATGATTTTGATCATTCATTTGAACTATTTTAAAGCTCTCCACTGTGATGCAAAAAGCCAAAGGAGATGAGGTGGCCTCCAGGTGCACCCCTCCCCAGCCTCAGCAGCCACCGGGAAACGAGTTACCTTGTTCCACTAAAGGTCCACGAGTGCTGTTTTTGCCACTGATTTCACTGGAATCAAGCCAGGGTAGGGTCAAGCAACCCTCCTATGGTAGGGCAACCCCTTACCTGGGAGCCCTGTCCTCTGCCACCATTTTCACAGATTTTAGGAAGGAAGGGGCTCTTTTTCAGGCCAAACAACTTCCACCAGGGGTTTCTGCATTGAGCTTGGAACTGCTGTTTGAACTGGGGCAGACCAATATGAAAGACATCCCATTCCCTCATAGACTTCAAAGCTCGCTATTTCAAGTCAGTATTCTGGGGACAGTACGTAACACACCAATGCCTACAACATCTAACAGTGTCTGTGAAGTGGAAAGCAACGCTGGAGTGAACCAGAATAACTCAGTGATTTCTCTGAACTGTGGGTATTAAAATATGGGATAATTTCCCCACAGAGAGCGAAGCCAACACTGTGTAAAGCATAAAAGGTACATGAAGGAAACATTTGCTTCATGCATTACCTTCCAGTGAATGGAGCCCCTTCTCTCTGGCTGTCTCGTAGACACTGCCGAATTCGTCTCCTAGGTTGGGATCAGCACCAGCTGCAAGCAGGCTCTTGATCACGCTGGTTAAAAAAGAATGAAATATTACAAATAATATGATTTTCATCAAGGAGATTGGTTTGGGAGGGGGTGGGGGGAAATCAGACGGAAGTCCAGGAACCCAAGTCCATCACAGAACTTGAGAAGGAAACATATCTTAGCACCGAGAAGGAGAGACCCATTCTCAACGCTCCATAGCCAGCAAAGACCTGTTAGACAACAATGCCACTTAATGATATTAACATGAATATTAATGGGCCTGAAGGGAACTGGAATACTGCATTTAGGAGGCATCTGGGGAGCAGCTAATTTTGAAGCCCCAGTTGCAAACAGTTTCTCTGCTCAACACATCTCACTTCCAAAATGTCTGCAGAGAAACGTCTTTGTGCTATGAGCTACATTTCTGGCGTGCTGTATCAGACTGACACCCTGCCAGCCTTGATGAATGGTTGCAAGAGTATCCATCCGCAGCAGAGAGACTGCTAAGCAGCTCAAACAGCTGATGTAACACTAGCAAGGCCTCTGCAACAGGCAGATTCTCATGGTAGTTTCTGCACTGACAAAGGCAAAGTTCACTTATGTTGTTTCATCGCAGAGATGCTAATGGCCACTGTATCCAGGCTTCCTAAGCAATGAAGATCCCCAAGGCAACATGATCCCAATGCTAGACAGAAGAGCAGCTCAGTGAGGAAAGCAGCAGGCCTTTGAAGAACCCCGTGTCTCACCAAGATGGACACCTGTAGATATAAGGCTTTCACCTGAAATGCTCTGCACAGGGACACAATCAAAGGAGTCTGTCCTTGATACGGGATCTCACCTGCATCCAGCGAGAAGCCAGAGACACTCCTTGGCCTCTTTTCTGCCTTCAGAGATAAAAGGACCCTTCTGAATACTTCAACAATAGATTGCAATAGCTTTGGTTTCACCCCTAAGTGAAACTGCAGAACTATATGAAGCATTCCCATATCACCCTCTTCACTGGGACATAAGACAACTGGTCTGAAAAGAGCTAGACAGGGACAGCTCCATGACCTGGACTGCAACCCAGCAGCTTGAAGGCCTTTATAAAAGTGGTGTTATTCTTTGAGACTTTAGAGACGTCACAGATAAAGAACAGAGGAAGAAAATGCCCAGGAAAGAAAGCGTGTACTGATGAAGTCCCCCAAGTAGGGCGTTTGTAGACCCTGACTGGACAGCAGGCCACTGTCTATACTGCAAAAAAACACTACCATAAATGACAACAGCGGACAGCTTCAGCAGCAGTCTTGGCGGTAGAGGAAAGAACGAGAGAATCTGAACTCTCCTCCAGCTTCCAGAGCAGGGGTGTCAGACTCATCCGGTGGGGCCATGTCATGGGCCTGGTCTGGAGTGCAAAGCTGCATCGCCTGGCCCGCAGGGCTACAAATTTGGTTGGCAGCAACGACTTGTCCAACTGCCAGATTTCCAGCCCACAGGCCAGACGTCATGTCTCTACTCTCCAGATCTGGCCCACAGGGCCAGCAATTTGGCCATGGGCTAAGCGACAGTAGAGTTAGTTCTTACAGCTGTGGGAGCACTGCTCACCTGACTGCCAAATTTGCAAGCTGGTGGGCAACCCCATGGGCCAAACCCAGAGCACTGAATCATGTCACCTAGCCCCTGGGGCTGCCTGTGGGGCTGGAAGCTGGGCAGCAGGATGGGAGGCAAGTAATGCTGCCACCCTTGCTCCACCATCACATTTTGGACCGTGCGGGGAGCCCTGCAGGACACCTCTGCTCCAGACATAGATGTAGGCTGGATGGAGCCTCCCACTGTCGCTGCCCACACCTCTCTGGAGACGAAGGACATCTAGTGCCCACAGCTGTAGATCTGCCACCATTCACTAGTCAGTGCACAGAGCAAGCAGGCTCAGGAAGTTGGTGCAGAAAGCCGCCATCTGTTTTGGAACGAAATGAGCATTAGGCAAGAATTAGATTTGTTTTCCTTCTCTGCAGGCAGCTGAAGGCCATTTTTTCTGATTTTTTCCCTCTTCCTCCTGGGTTCAGGCTTCCATGGCACTCAGACAGTAACACAGTGCTTAGCATTCATAGTGGAAGACGGGCTTGATGGACTGACAGAGGTGCTCTACAACAGGCACCATGGACTGACTGATTGACAGGCCTTCACAGGCTGCTTCTTGTCAAGACACATTTACAATCCTGCTTAAATTCCTCCCCGCTTATCCCATGACAATAAATGCAATCAGCAGAATGGGGGGGGGGGGGGGGGTTAGCCGACTT